GGGTTAACTAGAGAAACAAATCCAGAGACACTCATGTGTATAAGAGAGGGCTTTATATCAAAGAGTAGTTGTATATTAAGAAAACATCTCAGCCCAGTCCAGATCAAGTCCATAAGCCGATATTAGCCCGTATGTCCAATACCAATCTATAAATTCCTCTTCAGACTCATGCAACACATGCAATGGTGCCGAATGCAGGAAGATCATAGGCCAGTGAGTGTAACGTCTTGTGGATCCAGTGGTGGTGGAAGTATCTGATCGCTGGCATGGGCTCTGGCTGGGATCATCATGGCTCCATGTGGCTTGTCATCAGGAATGTGAAGCAGAGAAAGTGTGTCCCGCCTCCAGAGAGGAAGACAGGCGTTACCAGAATCCTCAGGAGAAGACCATGCCCACACAGAGGCATGATTGGCTATGACCTGATTGACAGGCTAGCCTCCACTCCTTCGCTCAGGTTGACAGGAGATTATGTAACTGCCACAATAGGATTCATTTTTTGAGAATTTTAATTATAGGCCTGGACATTCAGTGTTAGACAACAGTAGGAATAAATAGAACTGTGGTACCAAAATATAATTTTAAAGGTTTTTACCCAAGACTGGAAAAAACTGAACAAGTAATGAAATAGATAAACTTATCAAATTTTTACACTGACTTTAAAGTTTTTATTGTGAAAGATTTCAGATATAAAAAGAAGTATATAGTAGTATTACCCTGTCATTGGCTGGGTTCTCCAGGGAAGCAAAACCAGTGAAACTTACATATATATAATTAGAGAGGTTTATATCATGGAAATGACTCACACATTTGTAATGGCAAGCAAGTTCCAAGTTCATGGGTCTGATATCAGGCTTCTTTTGATGAGCTCAACATCGGCAGGTTGGCGATGGCTCACAGGTACAGCAGGTCATGCAGCAGACCAATGACACATCCAAATGGGCCATATACCCATCACACGGTTTCATCAAGTAGCAGTATTCTGCCATTCTAGGTTAACAATGGCATCATAAACCCAGACACGTAAGCCAAAGGTCTGGGAGCATCTTTTCTTATATGGAAGGCATGATGGTAACACCTCTTAAATCCCGTAAGTCCTGTTCTCAGCCTCAGCTCCAGTCTTTGTCAGTTCCTGTAAACATAAGTTTTTGGAGAGACCTTAGGATTCTTAATTCCTTTTAAGACAACAAGATTTATTAATACAGTTTCATACGTGAATTCAAAGTGAAGAAGACTTGAAGCACTTACTGTTGAAGATCACAGACCAGCTATCATATGGGTTATACCTCAACATAAAAAAATATTAACCATCACAAGTGAACCATAAACAGCATCATGATAAACAGTGAAAAGATGTAAATTGTCAAGGATTTCATTTTACTTGTATCCACAATTGCTGTCCATGGAAACAGCATACTTTTGGGAAAAATATGCTGTAGAATGTTAGCAAGTGTGTAAAGTGCTAAAAAGCAAACTTTTCGCTTTGAGGACTAAAATTCACCTGGCCTAAAGCTAGTGATGAAGAAATTGAAGAATTTTACAAATGTCTTCAGTTTAAAATAGATCAAACATGCAATTAAGGTACCTTGATAATTATTAGTGATTGGAATGCAACAGTTGGGAACAGAGAGAAACATTAGTTGGAAATACGGCATTGGTGATAGAAATGAAGGCAGAGATTGGTGTGATAGAATTTTATAAGAACAGTAACTGCGTTAGTCTGGGTAGACTAGAGAAACAAATCCATAGACATTCATATGTATATAAGAAAGCTTTGTATACAAGAGCAGTTGAATATTGAGTAAACATCCCAGCCCAGTCCAGATCAAGTCCTTAAGTCCTATTAAACCATATGTCCAATACCAATCTATAAAGTCCTC